ATGTTACGTTTTTTAATTCATTGCATTTCTATGTGTAAAAACTCAAAATGTCTCCCTGAGGAAGAGGTCGTAATTTTATTACTCCATTTCTTTGTACTCAATCTCTCGTTAATCATCTAGAACTTTTTTTTTTTTTCCACACACCACTTACAATACAAATACATGAATGATATTTTATTTATTAACTTTTAAATTGTTTGCATACGATGTATTGTTCATTATTCTTGTCTAAACTGCTACTTCCATCCATGAACCATCAAGTGAGATAGACCAATCAACTAGTGGTGGTCAATCAACAACTATCACCCCACAAATTGCAAGGGATTAATTACAAACTAGTGAGAGACAAATTACAAGAGGTTAACTATGGAATAGTGAGAGACAAATTGTGAGAGATTAACTATGGATTAGCAAGTGACAAATTGTGAGAGATTAACTACGAATTAACGAGAGACAAATTGCAAGGAATTAGGTGCATATTAGTGAAAGAAAATTTGTGAGGATTAGCTTCCTATTAGCAAGAGACAAACTGCGAGGGATTTGTTGTGGATTAGCGAAAGACAAATTGTGATTAGTGAGAGATTAACTACAAATTAGCTAGGGAAATTGGCGACAATTTAGCTTGACAATAGCTAGAAATTTATGAGAATAACTAGTTAGGGAAATACAACAATTCCTCACTTAAATTAGCGAGGGATTTGGCGATAGATTGGTGAGATAATTTGCTATAAAATAGAAAGAGAATACATCTTTCGCTAATTAGATACTCGGATTTGACGACAGACTTTCATAGCTAGTCTGTCGCAAAACGTATTAGCGAAAGCTAAACTACATAATAGCTACAGAATGTATCATAGTTAATGTATACATTTCTTGTAGTTATATTTGCACATTTGTGCATATATTAGCCCAAATGAGAAATTCCAATTTCTTTGATCATAAGGATAATAGTCCAAATTTTTTTGAATTATTATAAATAGGATTACATAGTTGTAACCCTAATATAATTCAAAATACAATACTATGAGACGTTCCTTTTACTATAATTCATATTTTTGTTATGGTATTAGTCTTTTTTGTCTTCCCTATTTTAATAAGCATATTCTTAGTTGTTGTCACATAATTTGTCTCAATTATCCTTAGTCAAAAGGGAATGCAATGGCAAGTTCTACGTAACCTACCTCAATTATCTAAGTATGGTTTATTGGTCACTTAGCCCAATTGCTTTTAAGTTGAAATCTAATAATTTAAAAATTTTAGTTTTAAATAAAAATGTTTAAAGGCATGTTCAAAATTATTCACTATTAAAGGAAGAATTGTTTCCTTTTTTATTCAGTTACTCATTCAAATTTTCTAATTTAAAAATAACATATATTTTCTTACAACTCATATTATTATGTTGTATCATCATATTATATAAAGTACTACATCATAAATATATTTTTTTTATAATAAATCATCATGCAAATATCTTAGTTGAAATAAAATTTTTAAAATACTCACATAATAATGTTGCTATATATTATGCATCATATGCAATGAGACGCATAAATATAAGATATTTTGACTTTTAATTTTCTAAAGGTACACACTTCTCACTCTCCGTTATTATACTAACGAGACAAAATGTGAATATAAATGGCATAAATATATAATGATCTATTTTTCTCGAGATACATGTCATTGATTCTTATTCTTTCAATTTACTTTTAAAAATGATAATGTGAGATGCAAAAATATATAACAATATATTTTCTTGAGATAGATGTCCTTGATTCATTATTATTATTATTATTATTATTATTATTATTATTATTATTATTATTATTATTATTATTATTATTATTATTATTATTATTATGCAAACTATGATTACATGATGTTAAATTCATTAATTTCCTTTCATGTGAAAAAATATATTTATTAAGAAAAAATATTCATTTTTTACTATATACAATATTATCAATGATTATTAAATTTCATAACAATATTATATGGCAAATATATCGGACATCACAAATTGTTTCCAATTTGTCATCAAAGATATTAAAATTACAAATTCAAATATATTTGTAGGTTTATATATCATTTATTATGAAAATTAAATGAATTTGTGATTTTGGAGAAATCATAATAGATTAAATCTTATATTAATATAATTTCAATATTACCTTATATAACCAAATGTGATATAAATATGTGTTCAATATTTCATTGGTATAATATAAATATTATGAAAAAATATTTCACATAACAACATATTTGATATTTGGTTCTCTATAGAAAAGTAGGAAAAACTTACTAAGTATAAAGAAAATGAAAGTCCATCACAAATTAAGATGGTCCATATAATTAACTCTTTACAAAACAGGGAATATAAGATAGAATATCTATTCAAGAAAATGATAAAGAGTCCTAATAACCACACCTATAAGGTAAAATGATACATGATTCATAAATTAACTTCTTACATAATGGGTCATATAAGTTCATGTTAATATCAAAAAGTAATATATTTACATAAATTTGATCATCCTTGTATACCTCAAAAATATGTTATACTCCAAACAGTTTGGTAATAACTCTAAATTAAACTTATTTTGGTCATAATTTTAAATTGAGCACACTTCACTCTTAGAATCCAACACACATCTTCTAAATTAAACTCACATTGATATTAATGATACTTATAAATTGTTAGTATGAATTACGTAATTGTTAAGAAAAACTTATAGTCGTTGAATAGACTTTGTCACACCTGCAATAGAGATAAAAATAATTGTCTCACTCAAAAAAGTCTTATAAAATTTCATGAATGAGTCTTATAATCAACTCATTAAACTACATTAATGTTAGACTTTGAGTTGTGCAACTTATTAACATCATGTTTAGATTCCCAATTTCATAACATTTATTACATAACGAAAATATTTTCTATATCAATGCATGTTATGATAATAATATACAATTAATCTACTTGATCACTCAGTTTAATCACCATTAAACATATATAATTTATTATTTAAAATATAGAATATAAATAACATTATTCTATTATCTACTAATCATCTTATTATCATTGAGAGACTTTTCTAATATTACTATTCTTATTTTTTATATTAACTTAAGGAAAACTTAAGGAAAAGAATATCTTTGCGGGTAACTCTTACTCTTTTTTCAAAATTCAACAAAGTTTGATTGAGAAACTTTTCTAATATTACTATTCTTTTTTTTTATATTAACTTAAGGATAAGAATGTCTTTGCGGTAACTTTTCCTCTCTTTTTTCAAAATTCAACAAAGTTTGGTATAATAGATCTAAATTGACAATCATTCAAATTGATTTATCCTTCATTATTGTAATTTTTTTCATAACAAAATTAATTTTTAATTTAAAATGAGTCTTCATTTTAAATAAATGATTTTATCAGGATCTTAAACAAATTGTTTTTAGAAAAAGCTTTTTATTTCCTAACAATTATTTTTAAGTTAAACAAAGTGATTTTATCCATTTTTTAAATAAGTAATTTAAAGTAATTTTAAACAAATTGTTCATGGTGCCACCATATGATTATTTTGAAAGTACTTATCTTTTTAGATTCCCACATCCATGCAGGTCAACCTTGCTGGACACTTATATAGGACCCAACACGCACGCGCATGAGAATTGTTTAATTAAAAATTCTTAAAAATTTGCACGTGCGTTTAAAGCATAACACGTGGTGATAATGTTAAGCTTTTTCGAAGAGGTTGAAAGGGTTGAGAAGTGTTTCTTTTGGTATAGAAATTTAGAATGTTGTGTTTAGTTGTTCATATGATATCTTCTCATATTATAATTTGGAATGATAACATTTTTTTTGTCTAATATTTATAATTTTATAGATTATGATTTTCTAAAAAATATCTCCCGAGTTTCGTTTTATTTAATTTTGGTTTTGATGTCATAGAGTTTTAGTTACTAAAATATATTTCTTTCTAACTTTTTGTATTTTCTTATTCATTTTTATATATAACTAAATATGCTTTAGCATTTGCTTTCATTAAAAGAAGATAGAGGAAAAGTATTTTGATTGAGATAGATAAAACTTTTTTTTATTTCATCTAATCATGTCACATCAAAGTGAATATGATAAAAAAAAAAAACATCTAATTTTTTCAACCTTAATTAAGACAACAAAAATCTTAAGGAGACATTAATTGTTCTTCAACAAGAGTGGCATTTCATGAACTAATGATTAAATTTATGGTAAATTTTTTCTCTTGGTCAAGTGCCAATTTCAACCTCTACTTCACCTGCAAGTTCAACCTCCTCCATAAGTATTATTTTCGTGATGGTTTGTGACAATGTTAAGAAATTTGTCACCTTTTTTTATTACACTTTTTACGCCTAATTTTGTGATGATATCATGGGTTGTCACTATTTTTGACAAAGTTGAGAAATCTATCATAAAAATTAGGGTTTATTGGTGACAATTTTTTCCTTCATAAATTATTATTCTTTTGTAATGTAAAAGGGTTGATTGTGAAAAAAAAATGGTTTTGATATATTTTTCAATAATTTTTTATTTGTATTTTAATAAGTTGAAATTTGAACACTTCTAGTTTTCCTGGCTCTTAAATGAATCATTAAGAGTTGTGTGTAGAAAAGTTAAATTGTAAAAAAAAAAAAAAAAATGAATTACGAAGTACACACCATGGTTGTCCAATGCGTTCTGCTCGTGAGTAATCCCGTGTAAGTGAGTTGTGTTAAATTATTGTGTTCGTCTTAACACACAAAAGAAGAAACAAATAAGTGCATAGAACTCACAGTGATAGTTGTTACATTATTCATAGTTCTTGCAATAAGAGGTGCATAGAACTCTCACGCGTTGAATCTTATATCATACATTCATACTTGCTATATTATTCATGGTTCTTCCAAGCTTTAAGAGCTGCATAGAACTCACTTGCTTCAACCTTATTCTACACATACTACAACAACCCTTAAAGCACACAACATAATTATATAAATATGTTATTTAGAAATGCCCAATTAGCTAGGGTTTTGTCTGAAGGAACCCTAAGAGTTTCAAGAAATGGTCTTCCTCCTCTTTCAGTAGACTTTCGTTTCAGACGATCCTGTCTTTCTTCATACAAAATCTCAGCCAACCTGTCAAGAGCCTCAGCATTTGTTCCTTCCCCTGCGTCTTCAAAATTAAAAGTATCCAAATTCATCCTCACAACTTTTTCTTTTAACAGATTTATTCCAGTGTCACTAAGACCCTTCAAGTTTTCTTTTGTAACATTAGCCATGTCGGTGAAAGCAGGATCCAAGTTATATTCCTGCATTGATTACATTATTCATCAATTATACCGAAATATATATAATCCAAAACAACAAATAACTTTATTATATTATTAAATATAATTATTAGATGAATGTATGTTAAAAAGTAGGTTGTGAATTAATCTTTATCCAAGAGGTGTTAATATTTTGACACCGTTCAACAATCATAAATAATAATATTATAATAATATTTTGAGTAGGACTAGTGATTGTTAAATCATCATTTCTCTCTAAATAAAAAAGAATATATACCTCAATTCGAAGGTAGGTATTGCCAGGTTGGAAGCCTAAGAAGAGTGAAGCAAGGTACAATTCAGTCATGGCTGTTGAACCACCACCAAGAAGACCTATTCCTTTAGTAATCCAGTCTAGAAGGTTCCATGTGGCAGCCATTTGAACATCATAGATCTCCTCAATTTTCGTTGTTCCAGTCCCTAAAGACAACACTAGGATTTTGGGATACTTATTGTGTTGTAACACTTCACTCACCGTAGCTTGTGTCTGATCAAATTAAACTTGGTATTGTTAAACTTGATATATTGTATAGTGTATTCATGCATCATATTGACTTGTATTATTATCAATAATCAACTTAATTTACCGGATTCCCAGCTGCTGCACCACCATCAATCATATTGAACTCAACACCATCATTCACAAAATAGTAGGGTGGCAGATACACGGGTGCAGCTGAAGTTGATATGCATATATCAGACAACAAGGCATTTAAGTAGGGAGCACTCTCAAGCTGCATACACCAAAACATTATATTAATTCATCTTTCAATATATTAAAAATATGTGCACATGCTGCTAGCTAACCTTGTAGCTTGAAAATATAACTGGCTTTTGTCTCTTGAGGTCGAAAGTTGGGATTACAACTTTTGTCAATGTTTGATTAAGTCGTGTGTCCTTCAACAGTTCACGTGTTATGTTATGTAAATACTGACCATCGAATATGGGACCGTCTCCAGGACTGCATGTAGGTTGGTTCATCATCAGAAACAAAAGTATGTTATTAGCCAACCTTAACTATCAATATTGATGTTCTGAAAATATTAATATTATCATACTTAGATGTATTGAATATATGAGGGCCATCTTCTACGTAGAAGTCTACAATTTGTGCAGGAGTAAAGGCAGCACGACTAGGGTCATCAGGGCTTGGGGCAGCTAACATAGCTGTTATGAGTCCACCCGTGCTTGTCCCTCCTATCACGTCAAAATAATGTGCTAAATCTGCATTTGGATCCTTTGCCTGTCACTCAAACAAATTCAAAGCAACCTCATAAATATTCATTCACTCATGCCATTTGAATACATATATAATATTAACAATAATAATCAACCTTGAGAGCCTTATCCAAGTAATTAAGAACTGTTGCTGGAATAATCCCCTTGATACCACCACCATCAATGCTCAGGATAGTTATCATGCTTCCAGAGTGGGATGTTGGTAGTTTTTGGGTACTGAATCCAGCAATCAGTTGAGCCGCAAACACCAATACAAAGAGAAGCAAATGAGCCATTGATTGGAGCAAATGGTTCAGAAGAAGATAGATAGAATAAAAGTTGAGAGATGTGCGTGTTATGTTCACAAATGTGATGCCTATTTATAGACATTTGCATATGTCCAGGATTTAACAAATGTTGGCCACAAATTATTTTATGCATCATATTTGTGTTCGTATAGCTTACATAATCTTTAAAGTCTTCAGTGGTTCCGAAAGGAATAATGTTACAACAAATACCTTTTCATCTTGAAACTTGCTTATTATTCTAAAGTTGGATTATTAGAAGATAAAAAGATGAAGTTAAAAAAATAAGCTAATGATATTTTATGGGAGTTACTAGTTTAACAGTATAATTTATTTGATGGGAATAACTAGTTTCATTAGATTAATGACAACATTTTATTCATAGGCAATACTGACAAAAAATAATAAATAAATTATTAAAGTAACATAGTATAATTAACCTGTATCAAATCTTATTATTTTTTTTTACAGTATTGATACTGTTCATAGCACTGTTTCACACAATTCACTATTCATAGTACTGTTCAAAAAAAGTTGAAAAAAAAGAGAAAGAATTTTAAAAAAATAAAAAAAGTTGAAAAAGAAACAAAAAGAGAAAGAATTAAAAAAAAGGAGAAAGAAAGAAGTTTAAAAAAGTAGAGTTATCAATTTTTATATCCAGTGCAGTGCACATCAATTATTTGTTAAATTTCTTGTTTCAAGTGTCTTCTTTAAATTTGTATGGTCTTGCTTGTTTCTTGGTAGCAAAATTATTATTTGCTACTTCTTTTTTGTGGTACTAAAATTTATTTATTTATTTATTTAATTTTAATATTGTCATTACAAATCATAAGAGTGAATATTTATGGTAGATTGTTTAATTCTTGTAAGAACCTCAAGTAGAGAACGAGTAGTAAAAGACAGTGTAATCATTGATAAAATAGTCGTATTGAGTGAAACACGAGCATGAAGTATATACACATGAGAGAGTATTGTGAGAATAAACTTATTGTTATTTCTAATCTGTTTGTTGAAGCATGGTAGGGGAAATATTAAATACTGAAATTTCATAAACACAAATGCAAGTCTTGACTCAACATTTGGAGAGACTAATGAAACAACAAAGTGATGGACTCAGATTGGATCAAATGGAGCAAACACAACAAGACAATCATGAAAATAAAAGAAGAGATATGAGATGAAGAAGGGAGAATGAGGGAGAGCAAAGACAACCTATAGTTGATGCAATCAAGTTAAATATCCCAATATTTAAAGGAAGAAATGATCTTGAAGCTTACTTGGAGTGGGAGCTAAAATTAGAACATGTGTTTGCTTGTAGTGAGTACAATGAAGAACAAAAGATGGCATTAGCAGCAGTTGAATTTTCATATTATGCCTTAATTTGGTAGAATAAGTACCAAAGGGAGAGAGTTAGAAACGAAGAACCCATGGGGGAATCTTGGAGTGAGATGAAAAAAATTATGAGAAAGAGATATGTTCCAGCAAGCTATAATAGAGATTTGCAACTCAAACTTTAAAGGATGGCTCAAGGGAATATAAGAGTGGAGGAGTATTTTAAGGAGATGGAGGTGACCATGATTAGAGCTAATATTAATGAAGAGAATGAAGCAACCATGACTAGATTTTTTAGTGGGTTAAACTATGATATTATAGATGTTATGGAGCTACAAGAGTATGTTGAAATGGAAGATTTGTTGCATAAGGCTATTTAAGTAGAACAACAACTTAAGATGAAGGGAACTTAACAATAATAATTCTAATTTAAGAGATAAGGTTGTGAGAGATAAAGAAGTTTCACATGAGAAATCACTTAACAAGTCCAATAATTCACCACCGAAAAGGAAGACAAGTGAAGTGAAATGTTTGGGGAGACGACACTATGCTACAGAATGCCCAACAAAAAGGAATATGGTAATGTTAGCAAATGGAGAAATAGATAGTGAGTCATTAGTGAAGAAGAGAAGGAAGAGTCGGAGATGAAATTAGAAGCATATGAGGGTTATTTGTTGATGATTAGACGACTTATGGGAAGTAAGATGCAAGCCTTGGGTCAAACCCAAAGAGAGAATATTTTCCATACTAGATGTTCTATTCAAAGGAAAATATGTTCACTCATAGTTGATGGAAGAAGTTGTACCAATGTAGCTAGCTCAAGACTAGTTACCAAATTGAATTTGGAGACAACACCACACCCTAGGTCATACAAACTTCAATGGCTTAGTGAAGATAGAAAGATGATAGTGAGTAAGCAAGTGGAGGTGAACCTATCGAGGTGAACCTATCCATAGGACAATATAATGACAAGATTTTGTGTGATGTGGTTTCAATGGAGGTAACTCACATTCTTTTGGGGCGGTCGTGGTAATATGACACTAAAGTTATCTTTGATGGTTTTACTAATAAAATATCTTTTAAGTTTTAGAAAAAGAAAGTGGTTCGGAAGCTTTTGACACCTAGAGAGGTATGTGAGAAAGAGTGAAACAATTGAAAGAAAAAAGAGTGAAAAGAATAAGAGTGAAACACATGAGAAAAAGAAGAGTGGAAAGAACAAGAAGTTGTCACCGTGGGAGAAAGAGACCACCACAAAAAAGAGGGCATGAGAAAAGGAGTAGAGTGAGGTGAAATGGAATGCGGAGTGGCTTGAGGGAAAAAAGAGATTGAGGAAAGCGCGACATGACCAAAACAAAAGAGGAAGGAGGAGCACAACAAAAACGAGGGAGGAGGGTAAGCGAGAATAGGGTATATAAGCTACGATAACGATTGTTAGTAATAATCACCATCATATAGCACATATAACGACAATTATTAAACATCCGTCATTAAATAACTATTATCTTTAATATTTAACCATAGGTTTTATATAACGTCGTTATAAGTACTATGTAACGACAGTTATTAAATAACCATCATTATACAATTAATCATAATTTAAAAAATATCGTTATGTTGTTTTTGATAACAACATGTCTTGAATGATCATCATTAAAAAAAAACATGAGTGATAATGAAATATAAAAGTAGAGAATAATTTAATAATAAATATTTATTATTTAAAGATTAATTAGGTGATAACTTTTTATTTATAAATTTTGTAACTATTATAATATGATCACTAAATTAAATTTTATTTAATAAATTAATTTTTGTATAATATGATTATTAATTTATTTCTCTTATAATTACTTAATTAACTGAGTTCTATATTATTAGTGACTAAATTAGTTTTTATATAATTTTTTTAATATAATAATTATTAAATTAATTTTTATATAATATAGATTTACATTAACTGATTCTGATTATTCAAATTTAGATTAAATTTTTTTCTAAAAAAATCCCAGGACCTATTATTGTAACTTAGGTATTATATATAATTGTTAGTATTATGATTAGTTTAATATATCTCAACTTTAATATCTCAACTTTAAAAAGTAACTCTTGTACCTTGTGTAATACATTTGTCAGCAACATACGAAAGGAGAAACACTCATGAGAAAGAGCACTAGCCAACAATAATTCTACCCGAATAAAACTTTATTTTTACACTTAAACTCTAATATAAAATAATAATTTGTCCCTCACTTTCATCCTCATTTTATAATTGACTTGAGATTAATGTTCAAGTTTCGTTTTCAAAAATCATCATTGCTAATGGTCAGAGTTACCAGAGTTAAAGAATCACTTCGATATCGTATTAAATAAATAAAAATTTGAGTAATATATAAATAAAAAAATAATAAATTTAATGTTTTATAATTTTAAATTAAAAATAATATTATATTTTTTATATAATTTGTTTAAGATTTCATTCGTAAATACTTTTGAGTTTATTATAGTTATACAAATATGAATCCTCTATAAATATTCTTCAAAAAACTCGAGAATTTATCTTCGAATTTGATTTATCTCCTATTTCTAAATTTCCATACACATAGCCAAAAGTAACACTTTCAACCTCTTCACAAAAACTTAACATTATCACCACGTTTTATCCTTTAAAGTTGGTTTCTCCCATGTGCTAATTTTTAATTATATTTGAACCAAACGCTTCCCATGCATGTACTGAATTCTTAATGGGTCGTATACTGCCAAAATAAAAGAAGAAAAAGTGATCATATACTTCCAAAATGTTGTAATAGACAACTACCAGAAATTGGTAATTTATTCAAATGTAAAATCAGTTTTTTGAAATTTGTTATTTTAAAGAATCACATATTTAAGAAGTAGATACACCAATCTGTTAAAAATAAAATAAGTGTTTTTAAAATAAAATATTTTAAACAAATTGCTTATTTGAAAAACAAAAGATTCACTTGATACAACATGAAAACTGTTTTAAAATAAACATATTACACAAACACATTTTAGAAAAAAAAAAACAATATTATCTTTCTTAATAAAAAAAAGTTTTTTTTTTCAAAATGTAACCAGTTTTTTTTTCAAAATGTAACCTGTGATTTACTTATTAAAATAATTTGAAAATTTCTTATTTTGAAAATAACCAGATTAGAAAAATAAAATTTTAAAAAATATAAGCATGCTTATTTTATTAAAAAAATAAACACAAACGAATTGGTCCATTATTGATATTTTTTTCAAATAAAGTTAATGTTTTAATATGAGATCTAGATTTTAAAATGATATTCCAAATTTTAAAAAACAAGTTAATCTAATTAATGTTATTGAAAATAAATGTTCCAATTAAATAAAACTAATTATATCCTAATATTTCATATGTAAACAAACTTATATGTGTGATGTGACGGACTACTACGTGACAGAATAGTATCTCACAAAACTTTATCATCAATTTTAAATATTTTTTTTATTTTGAGACGATTTTTGTCATAATATATTTAATGATAATATTCATTTGTTATTAATATCGACACAATTTTTTTAGTATTTTTTTCTTAAATTGTCACAAAAATATATTCTCATAAAATTACGTTAAAAAAATTATTTTTTAGTGAAAAGGAAATTATATCACA